GGATCTATCATAAAGGACTGGTGTGTTAGCTTAAGGAACTTAGAGATGATGGGAATTTTCTGCACCAACTTTGGAACTTAAATATTCGAAACATCCAGGTTGTCGTCGACAGTCGTCTCTCGTCTATATAGTCACCCCCAGACAATAAGAATAAAACTTGACAGGTTATCTAACGCCAAACGGTTCCTTACGAAGATTAAACATAGCCTATAAGTGGCCTAATAAAGCTGACATAATGGCAACTGTATATAGTTTCATTAATGAATCAGTACCACGTAAATTTAAATGTAAGTCACTGGCTTCTCTAAATGGCACAGGAAAGAGAGTCCATCTGGTGGAGGTGGATGCATTATTGTCTGCTGGCATGACACTCAAGATTCACTGCTGTCAGCAGTGAATCTGGCATTCTAGATTCACTTTTAAGGGCTGCGACTGTAGTCACCAACTTAACACCGACCTTAAATGGAATATGAACGAAGGCCCGTGAATCCTCCTCTTCGGCTTTAGCCCTCAATAACATGGGGATAGATCCAACACTATATCTGACTAAGCATCAGGATGAGTTTCCTGACCAAAATAAATGTCACCACCCCATCCCAGTAGGAGACAAAGACTAACACCAGATGTTACGAGCTCCAGACGAGCACTTACACACCCGTATTCATCTACCCACTTGTCAGGATCATCACTTTAACCTCGTAGAAATACCTGGGGAAATGTCCTCTAGGCTATGGTAATTCCTAGGACCATCAGGTAGTGCACACCAACATCAACAAATTGATTGATAGAGACAGGGAATCACCAGCTGACTGAGGGAATAGGAAGACTAACAGGAACTTTGTAACTCCATAAAAAGCCAAAAATGTTGATATCATGACAGTGGGTGACAAGCCAGGCTGCCGAGGTTGCTGCTCAAGAACTCAAACAATAAAATGTAAAGAAAAAATAATTCAAGCTAATATCTCATTAAAATAAACAAAAATAAACAAAAATCTTGATTAAAGAAACCCAAGCCCATCATTATTACAAACAAGAAAATCAAAGATAAGCTAGTATTAAAAAGAAGAATTATCTTAATATTTAATTTATGTATTTACAGCTGCTCTTAGTAGTGAATCTGTTTAAAATTATATATATATATATATATATATATATTATATATATATATGCAGAATAACCACATATGAAAAATAGAAAATGCTTAACGCGTTTTCGGCTAATTCGCCTTCATCAGAGCAAAGTAGAATCTTGATTCTACTTTGCTCTGATGAAGGCGAATTAGCCGAAAACGCGTTAAGCATTTTCTATTTTTCATATGTGGTTATTCTGCATACTTGGATCAGTGTTTTTGTGATCATTGTTGCATATATATATATATATATATATATATATATATATATATATATATATATATATATATATATATATATATATATATATTTGAAAGCTTGTAACAACAAAGTTATATATAAAACATGAACGTTCAGGCACGAATATATTTATAATAAAATATTATATATGTCTATTTTATTTAATACAACAATAAAATAAAAATATAAGAACGAAATTTTATAAAAAATTGTTAAAAATATTCAATAAACAAATAGTTGTATTCCTTGTTCTTGCAGAAGAAAAATACAGAAGGAAATACAGAAAAAACGTCTACTTTCTGAATCCTGAATAGACATCTCGCCTCAAGCCTCCCAGCAAGACTAAGAAGTGCCTAAAGCAGACTTCACTAACTACTTACTCCAGAAGTTTTCCAGATAAAACTTTGAGTGACTGTCTTTCTTCTACCTAACCAACTTGTGATCTTGGAACTTTCTAAGGAAGGAGAGAGTCGTCATACTTTTCCCATTTATATTTGTACGGTAGATGCTCTTCAACGCGGGTTTTTCATTCTCTCGACTGAGTTAACAGCTGCAGTACTCTCACACATAATGATCTTCTTCCATGCTGACAGCTCTTCGACAATGACGGGGACACCACACTGACAACTCAACATCAATGACAGCTGAACTACAATGACAGTACTACACCTACAATGACAGCTTTACCACAATGACAACTCTACCTTAATGACAGCTCTACCACAATGACAGCTCGTTCATGCTGACAACTCATTGATTTACTTCTACAATGCCGCATTCTAACTAGGCTTCATTAGCAGATCCTTCACGCCAACCCAAAATAAATTTTAAAAGATTACAACATTGAGAGTAATTGCAAAATCACATGATACGTGCGTTTGCAATGTTGAAAACTTGCTTTATAATTATTCTGTTTCATTTTTCGTATTTTAAAACACTTGATACTTGATTGTTAATGTTAATAAAGTGAAATATATAAAACTTTGTGAAGGAACTGTATTGTGATTTTTTATACATAAAATTGGGACGTAAAATGTGTTCTTCTACTTTATGAGAAAGAGTTGCTATAAATATACCTTTCAAAATACAATTACTATTACTAGCTGCTACAATTGCTAGTACTAGTGCTGAACCCACGAGGAGTGGGTTCAGCACAACCCCCCAGGTTGCAATTCTTTAACCATATCGAAGCTTAGTCGTTTAAAGCATGCGTCTGGGATTATCCAGCGCATAGGTTCGAATCCCCATCACGGCTCCTATAGATTTTATCAATGTAAATAATGATAACAAAACTAATTACAATAATAAAGGTGGTGTTTAAAATATATAATGCCACTGTTAAATTACTGAACTACATAACCCGTTCCCTCGATATTCTCTAGTTTCCCTCCTGATTTCTGGTCCTTCTTTCTACTTTTCCATAAACTTTCTTTACCTTGAACTGTTCTTTGCATTCGTAATTGTCCCGCCCACAGAATAAACAACACCCCTTGAGAGTAACTGCTTTACTGCTCCCTTTTTCCCTCGTAATTTCACCCCTCTATTCTCTCTCCTTCCCTCTCTATCCCTCCAATACGCAAGATCTTCGTAAAATCTTGAAGCAACGAAGCAAGATCTTCAAGAATAACTTCATATTTCTCTCTAACACAAACACACACACACACAAACATTCCCAGGAAGTAGTCCTTAACAGCTGTCTAACTCCCATACAGCTGCTAGGTGAACAGGTGTATCAGGGGGGAAGAAACTCTTCCCCATATGCTTCCGCCTCCCTTGTGAGTCACCCCTTGTGACTCTTCCCCTCTGCCCCTCCCTCCTCCCCTCACGTGCCCTCTACCACAAACTACATAACACCAACTAACTCACTCAACAATGCCTGCAGCGCTAACGCAAATCAGTAGCGCCTGTTGCGTCTCCGCCAGCGTGCCGTCCTCCTTGTTATTCACTCTGTCGAACCTGTGTCGGAGATGCAATCACACCTTTCATGCCAGCTGCCGTAAATATGCATGTGGTGGCTCCTGGGTCTTACGATTTTTAGGAATGTTTATTTATAATTCCGTTTCTCTGTCCGTTTTCGTCTCTATGTCTCTGGATTGTTTTTCTTGCTGTCCTCTTCTCTGCATGTCTACTCTCTGTTCTGTTTGTGTTTCTCCGTTACTATATTTCAGGTTTTTGTAAATTAGTTCGGGATTTAGGAAGATTTGATTGGATCAAGTGGGAAGCAGAAGAATGAAATAGAAAGTAGCAAAAAGAAAAGGAGCAAAAACATGAAGATAAAGAAAAGAATAACATAGAAAAAACACCTTGACTTATGTGGGGGGCCAACCTTGTGATATCTAAGAGTTGCATTTTATTCACAATAATTCTGATTTGAACGCAAAAATTTGCCTTCGGGATAAGATTTGTCGGTATCAGGATGGTCTTAATATGAACAGCGATGATCACATAATGATCTTAAAATTGTTGATGGAGTCAGTAAGTTGATCAATACCCCAATAACATCATCATCAGCATTTATTAATGCATAATCGACTCTGCTCGCAATATGATTTTTTGGGTGGTCACGTTTCTATCAAAATCATTGCTAAAATCAGTAATGTCTCTCATAACGAGTTATCTGATTTAAGATACGAGAACACACAGAGATCACAATGTCAATCGTAAGAGATGCCGAGAAACATCTGAGAGATATATTAGGTACCAAGATTGTGGTACCTATTTTGGGTCGGTGGTGAGACCTGGCTGTGAGAGATGCTAAGACCTCTCTCAGGCAGATGCTACAACCTATCTTTAGACCTGATGAGTTCATCTCCTGCTACATGCTGAAACTCTTCTCTGAGTGACGTTAAAGCATATTTTTCGGTCGATAACGCAATAATTTCCAGTTAGACGTAGGGGCTAAGCTCCATCATACAACCGTCTGTGACACGGATGAGTTCCTCCCGTGAGATAAGTCCCTGGGATTTGCTGGGAGCAGTTGCTAGGAAATGGTGAGACCAATCCTTAAAAGCTGCTCGGACCCGCCCCTGGCAATTCTCCTGATTACCACGCCCAGGAAACGTTCACGATCTAAATTGCAAAAGGTAACTCGGTGGCACTTTCCCCTTCTCCTCCTTCTATTTAAGAGACGGTCTTGGCCAGGAAAAAAAAAAACTCGTGACTAGTTTGAAGTCTCTGAGGAATCATGTCTTGTTGTTTGTTTTCTCTGTTTATCTTCCAGTATTCTCCTTTTTGTGTTTTTAAGTATCTTTAAGTTTGCTTTATATATCTACTTTCTCTCTCTCTTTCTCTCTCTTTCTCTCTCTCTCTCTCTCATTATTTTTGCATGTTGACGTTCCTCTCTCTCTTTCACATGTTTAACATCAAGATTTGTTCAGATATTCCCACACACACACACACACCTCTAAAACCATGGTTCAAAACCATCTTCAGATACTTCATCTAAATTTACACTAGCATACACTTTTTATGGACACATAAACACAAGTATACGAATTGACATACACACACACACACACACCATATATAGAGCTTCGTCCTTTCGAAACCTATTTCGCCGGTCTGCGCATGCGCAGGGTAATTTTATCTAAGGCGAGAGAGGGAGAGAGAGAAGCAGTGTTGCCTGGCAGGTCGGTGGGAGAGGACTGTTCGCTCTCTGCTCCACTGTGACCACCACCCACCCATGGAGTACCCGCGCCACTCCACGTCCGGGAACTAGCGCCTGAAATCACGACTTCTCCCTGTCTTGCACGGGAAAAATAACCAAAACAAAGTGCTTGAATTCGTCTGAATTTGACAGTTTTAAATGTAATGTAAATCAATTTCATTATATTATTGTTGTTTTATTTACGTGCTAATGTTCGACGTTTATGGCAGATGGATATAAGCAACGCTTATTGTGGTTTTATTTTAGATAATTTAGCTTTTAGCGAGTGTATTAAGAGGTGACGCTACGAGATAAACTTAACTATGTACCGAGAATGATGCGTCTGAAGAACTCAGCATTACGTAAGAGATAGAATTCATCATTCTTGTCGTCGCTCAAGGCAATGCTCAACATCATGGTAAGTCTTAAGATAACCCCCGTGTTCTCTGTGTGACGTGTTCTCAACCTGTTCTCTGTGTGACGTGTTCTCAACCTGTTCTCTGTGTGACGTGTTCTCAACCTGTTCTCTGTGTGACGTGTTCTCAACCTGTTCTCTGTGTGACGTGTTCTCAACCTGTTCTCTGTGTGACGTGTTCTCAACCTGTTCTCTGTGTGACGTGTTCTCAACCTGTTCTGACGTTCCCCATAACTCAGTTAAAATGACCGGTTCATTTGTGAAATAAATAACAAAGTAAAATTGTCTTTTCCTCGAAATGATGTGCAACATTGTCAGTGGGTTAGGGTGGTTGGCTGCTGTCTAGGTTCGCATGCTTCTGGTTAGGCCAAAAGGACTTCAAATTTGACATCTGTCAACCCGTGACAATGAGCTGGCTTGACACTTTATATCGACACTTTTCTGGTGTTAAGAATAGAGGCGGTGATCGGCTTCTCTGACAGTCTGCGAGTCTTAGCTCTGATATGTATGTTGAGTTCTCTTATTTTCTAACATTCAGTAATCCCTCATCATTCGGCAACATTTACCGTGGCTCCAACATTCACAATCATTTTCCGTGGCCCCAATGTTCACTATCATTTACCGTGCTCCTAACATTCACTATCATGTTGACACACTAGAAGGTGAAGGGACGACGACGTTTCGGCCGTAACAATCGACTTGAGAATGGTCCAGGACGGACCGAAACGTCGTCGTCTCTTCACTTTCTAGTGAGTGGTTTGGTCAACATTTTTCAGCCACGTTATTGTGACTCCTCATCTTCAGTATCATTCACAGTGGCCCCCAACATTCATCATATTCATAAAAACCTTTAATTTCATTGTAACTCAACATAGCCAATACTTATTATGACACAATGTGTGTACCAAATATTGAAATATAATAATAATAGTAATATGCCGGTCTGAGTGAATTTTTTACAAAATTGCACAATTGTAAATCCCAGTTCTTTACAAGTTCCTTCCTCAAGAACAAGGTACAATACGTAACTTCAACTGATAGATGTTCCATTTGCACGAATAGATAAATTTCGACGCTTTTACTACCCGAAGAGTTGTGTAAAGCATTTTGGCAATAGAATGTCAACCATTATCACACTGTTGTTCATACCACACTGTTGTTCATACCACACTGTTGTTCATACCACACTGTTGTTCATACCACACTGTCGACCATACCACACTGTTGTTCATACCACACTGTCGACCATACCACACTGTTGTTCATACCACACTGTCGACCATACTACACTGTTGTTCATACCACACTGTCGACCATACCACACTGTTGTTCATACCACACTGTCGACCATACCACACTGTTGTTCATACCACACTGTCGACCATACCACACTGTTGTTCATACCACACTGTCGACCATACTACACTGTTGTTCATACCACGCTGTCGACCATACCACACTGTTGTTCATACCACACTGTCGACCATTACCACACTGTCGATCACAGATATTTCACAGATACTGGGCACAGATTTTTTCTTCGAAACACCTCTCAGTCTGTGGGTCACGTGAGTAACGTATTGGCTTGGGGACCATTCAAGCTTGTTCACGTTTGAGTTACTCATGTGCTCCCAACATGCGAGATGACTCGATGAAATAGTTGTGCTCAAAAAGGTCCACCGAATGCTGTTGGGAATTGGGTTAAGGGTCTGATGACTTCCAATTCTCTTATCAGTCGTTGTGGCCCAGTGGTGAATGTACATGACACGCCAAGGTATATTGCGCCCCTGGCTGGCTGGGGTCGAATCTTTCAGGGTATATTATATATATATATATATATATATATATATATATATATATATATATATATATATATATATATATATGTCGTACCTAGTAGCCAGAACTCACTTTTCAGCCTACAATTCAAGGCCCGATTTGCCTAATAAGCCAAGTTTTCATGAATTAATATATTTTCTCTAATTTTTTCTTATGAAATGATAAAGCAACCCATTTCATTATGAAAGCGGTCAATTTTTTTTATTGGAGTTAAAATTAACGTAGATATATGACCGAACCTAACCAACCCTACCTAACCTAACCTAACCTATCTTTATAGGTTAGGTTAGGTTAGGTTAGGAAGCCGAAAAAGTTAGGTTAGGTTAGGTTAGGTAGGTTAGGTAGTCGAAAAGCAATTAATTCATGAAAACTTGGCTTATTAGGCAAATCGGGCCTTGCATAGTAGGCTCAGAAGTGAGTTCTGGCTACTAGGTACGACATATATATATATATATATATATATATTATATATATATATATATATATATATATATATATATATATATTATATATATATATATATATTAATATATATATATATATATATATATATATATATATATATATATATATATATATATATATATATATATATATATATATGAGAGAGATATCACTTAAGCTCTATGATGCCTCGGAGGCTTCGAACCCAGGTCGACCCCTAACAGCACCCGTACCAAAGCCAGTGCACCAGCAACAGACGAACACAGGTACAGTGGTCATGTTAGCTGTGCTCTGTACACATAATATATATACAAAAATCATTTAATATAATTTTGCATAATAGCAAGGGAAGTACAATTAATTTAATATATAATATAAAAAGCTGGAGTCCATAGAGTCAAGGAGATTAAAAGCGTAGTGTTACATTCTCATTGCTGTAATGGCCGAAGCTTTACGAGGTCTGAAAATTATTTCAGTGTATTAGATAAGTAATTAGGAAAATTTGAACAATTAAGTGAATTACTCATCAATTTATTTGTCAATACTGAGGCATTTGTTGGTGTTCGGTTTACTGCCTCCTTAGTCAGTCCTCTTTGTGAGCTGTGTATTTAAAAGTTTAAACAATTTGAAAATAATTAAATATTCAGAGTTCATAATATGCGAAAATTGTAAAGATGTGTGGAAAGCTGAAATGTGTGAAAGGCAAAGAAATGGAAAAAACAGAAATGTTCGAACAGTACAAATGTATTGAAGTTACAGATATATGACACTGCCACTGTAAAAGATATGTGAATGCTAAAAAAGTTTCGCAAAGAAAAATATATATATTTTAAACAGGTGTATGAAATAAAAGAGAATGTGAGACTGCTAGAGAGAAGGGATTAAAGATCTGCGAGAGCCAGAGATGTGTCAAAAATACAGAAGATTCGTGAAAAGTAGAAAAGTATAGAAAGGTGACACATAAGAAAGGAGCAAGGATGTGTGTGAAGGAGCTATGCAGAGCTATTTTTGACACATCTCTGGCTCTCGTGTGTATATGTTTTGAGCAGATCTCAAAACAATTCACTGCAATGTAAGTAAAGAACTATTAATAGGCATTTAAGTAACAATGGGCCGTAATAAAAAAGTAATAATGGACTGAAATAAGTAACAAGAGACAATATGAAGTAACAAAGAAGCAACAAATTGACTATAACAATAGGTGGTAACAAGATAAATAACAATTGACTGTAACAAGAGAAGTAACAATGGACTATAACAATAAAAGTAACAATGAATTGTAACAAAAAACTGTAAAATCAGAGCGTAACAGGAGACAGGAAAAACAGACAATGGCAACAGACCGTATCAAAGAGACCTATACTTCAAAACAAGAGCCCATAACAAGATTCTATACCAAGAGAGAGTAACAAGAGACCATAACAAGAGATTGTAGCAGAGGGGACCTCCTCTTCCTCTTAGTAAGAAGCGAGGACAAGGACCTTAATGACTCACTTCGCAATACCACGTCTCCTCCTTTAACGATATGAAGCAATTTTCTGTGAGGATTGAAGCGAGGTTAATTGCCACGTTGAATAAATGTTGGAGCCAAACGTCTTGTTGACTTAAATGGTCGTCGCTCTCTGATGATATGCTGGACATGTCGTGTGTGTATATATTTGTCGTCGCAGTGCAATGATGCCACGACGACATTTTTGTATTTGCTTGCATGTGTCGCGGTGTTTGCCAGAGATAAAACGGAGTTGGGTAAATATAATCTTTATTGTTTTCTCTCTCTCTCTCTCTGTCTGTCTGTCTCTCTCTCTCTCTCTCTCTCTCTCTCTCTCTCTCTCTCTCTCTCTCTCTCTCTCTCTCTCTCTCTCTCTCTCTCTCTCTCTCTCTCTCTCTCTCCTCTCCCCTCTCTCTCTCTCTCTCCCCCCCTCTCTCTCTCCTCTCCCCCCCTCTCTCTCTCCCCCCCTCTCTCTCTCTTCCCCCCCCTCTCTCTCTCTCTCCCCCCCGTCTCTCTCTCTCTCTCTCTCTCTCTCTCTCTGTCTTTCTCTATCTCTCTCTCTCGCTTTCTCCACGCTCCACTTCGCGTTCTAGGTTTAAAAATGTGTAATTCTGCTTATAGCAACATGAGGGTATGAGCGTCTGCCTGAAGGTGTTCTCACCCTGGGCCTTTCCCCTGGGGCCACCGTCTAATGGATGAGTATGCTGGGGGAGGAACGTGGTGCACGGGGCTCTCACACAACCTCACTACGCCGACAAATGATAAAAAATACATTTCCAAACAAACTCAATAAAATGTAAATGATGGCCTAGATGTTGGGGCTTAATGTGTGAGATTAAGAATTTGTCCCATTCGTGGAATTTGTAATTTTCTTATATTTTGGGGTTTTGACTAATATTCGTGAAGTCCATTTCTCATAAAAGTCGAATAATCTAACAAATATTTAAATAACTGAACTATTCACTCTACCTACCATGAGAGTGAAAGCTAGACCGGAACGTGACCGTGCTAACGATGACCTTACTGCACAAAACGCCATGCTTGAGTTCTTAACACCTGACTAATCATTGTGTGTTTATTTTATTGACGACTTAATGTCGTACGACTAACAAAATTCTAATATGAGGACAAACCAGCGTTAGACAACCCATTTTAACTAAAAACATCCTAAGTTTATGCAAAACAGGTGAATATCCAAGTAGCTTCATGAAACCTAGACAAGAACGACTTC